AAGCGGAAGGCCTTCTGTCAGCAGTGTGGGAAGTGGCTCTTCGTCGACAGGCTTGCGGAGGAGAACTTCGAGTGCAAGTGCGGCGCCCGCAGCTGGGGGGCGGAGCCACCAGACGGAGCGGATCTATGAAGGGGCCCTGGGACACACAAATAAATACACACAAATAAAAATATTCCCCATATTTTCCCATGTTTTCTGGGTTTTTGTCTTCCCCCCAACTTCCCATATTTTCCCATATTTCTGGGGAATCGAGGATTAATAGTGTCTGTGTGTTTCTTTTCCTCCTGAATCTACCTGAGCGTGCTCAACGTGACGGAGTCTGTGACGAATGGGGCTGACCAATTCTCGGTACTGGCGGTCGCGGCAAAGGCAAGCAGAAGGGCGCCCCACAGGGAGGCGGAGATGTACGGCCAGGAGGCTACGGCAATCAATCAGGAGGAGAAGACAAAGTTCAGCAACTGCTCGAGCAAGCGGCAGCAGCAGCAGTGGGCGACCAGAAGGACAAGCTCGAGAAGTTACTCGCTGAATCCAAACCAGTACAAGCATCAGCTGCCCCGCAACCTCAGCCAGGATCGCGCCCATCTCTTCGGCAAGCAGAAGATCAAGTTCAGAAATGCCGGGCAGCGCAGCAGAAGGCGTACCGCAGGAGGGAGCGTTTCAAGGAGCTCCAAGCGGCGGAGTCGGCGTTCCCCCGGTCCACCACGGAGGTGGTCGAGGCGGAGGCCAGGGTTAAGGATGAGCTACGCAGGCACCCTCTCAGCGTCGGTGGCAGCGACGCTTCTCCCAAACAAGTCAAGCCCCTCTTACCCATTGGCGCGCTCTTGGAGGACGACCATGAGATCGAGGTGGACCTTGGGGACAGCTTCGAGGTCAGCGACGAAGACATCAGCAAAGAAGATCGAGCAGAGACCGACAAGCGCAAGAAGGATTTCGTCTTGGCGGCGAAGCAGGCGGCGAAGCAGGCTTTCGCGGCAGCGGCTGAGCAGCTCAAAACGCAGAGGCAGCAGGAGAGGAGTTCGTGGAGCGGGCTCACGAGAAGTGGAAGGTGTGCAGTGCAAGGACAGCGAGCAACACGTGCAGGCAGAGGCACCCGCATCTGCACCAGCAGCAGCAGCAGCCGGGCCCGCAGCAGAGGGCTCCGCAGGGCGGGCAGCAGGAAAAGGAGCTCGCGGAGGGGCAGATCAAACCGGTGGTGGAGGCGCGGCTGGCCACGACGCCGCGGCCGCGCTCTCGAGCAGGATGCGAAGGAGGAGCGCGACCTGGCGGAGGCTACCGAGGCATGCCGCAAGGCAGCCGCTGGAGGCAAAGGCGGCGCTGCACCACAGGAGTCCTAGCATGCACTCCACGTTCATGCAGAACCTCTCGACGTGGGGCACACGTCTTAAGAAGAAGATCGACTCGCTCAAGGACGACGTCATCATCTTCCCCGAGACCCACGTCGGGGCGGAGGGCACCAACGACATCTTAGAACACCTCGACTTTCGGGGGTGGAATGCGGTGGTCACACCGTCACAAAAAAAAAAAAAAACAAGAGGAGTGAGCTTGAAGGTGGCATAGTGATGGCGGCGCAGGCGCACCACTCAGTGACATCGGTGCGGCAGTTGGCGGCTCAGAAGGAGCGGACCGCGGGGCTGAGGCAGCTCGACACCGAGTGGACACCGGGCCCCGTCGATTCCCAGGACGTGGTGGCGATGCCGTGGCGGTGGAAAAGGCAGTCTACCATGGTCGTCGGCATGCACCCCACATCGTCGATCGGTATTCGAGGAGAGAGCCAGTCCAAGATGGCGATGCTGGCGGCGATCGCAAGGGGCCACAGCGGGCCCTGGGCTGCGATCGGTGGCTGGAACGCGGAGCCACTCGAGTTGCAGAGGGCGGGCGGGCTGGCTGAAGTTGTTGCACGCGGAGGTGACGACGCCAGAGGGCGTCTCGGACGCGTGGACGCGCAACCCTGCCAGGATACTGGACTACGTGGTGTGCTCGGGGTTCTTCCTCCTGGCCCTGGACAAGGTCAACGCGGGCCCAGGGACCACTGCGGGGTTCAGCTACACCTACGCGGAGACGCAGAGGTCGCAGGTCGCACTGCAGCGGTGCCTCCTACTCCCACAGCCGTTCCAGTTGCCCGATATGCCGAAGCGGAAGGCAGACCCCAACAGCAAGCGCTCCAGGAAGAAGGCGCAGGAGCAGCATAACAGCGATTTCAGCGAAGGCCTATTGAGCGAATGTTGTCTGTCCGCCCTCCTCGGAGCCCTCCCCTCCAGGTGCGAGCAACGGTGCCCTGGTCGAGCCAGTGCTGTGCGTCGAGCTGCCGAAGGAGTGCCAGGTCCACGACGAGATGACCTCTTCGGCGAGTGCGAGCCGAGCGTCGAGGACGGCGAAGTCGGCCACTACGGGGCTGACGAGGAGGACGTCGACCCGAAGCGCACAGCGGAGGAGGTCTTCGACTTAGAGGGGGGTAAGCAGAACGAGCTCTGGCAACTCAAGCTGGACAGGGCCCAGGCGGAGGACCGCAAGGCGTGGCGCACGCCACCCTCTCACGCGACGGCGACGGCAGCGTACCTATTCGACCCCTACGGCAAGAACGAGATGGGGGCGCAGTGCGGGGCCTGGGTGCACGCGGTGGAACAGTACTACTGCGCGACGCTCAAGATCGAAGCTGCTGAGAGGCGCAACTTCAGCGGCAGGGCAGATGAGATGCGCTTCAAGGTCGGCAAGGCGCGCTTAGGGTACAACGTGAGCTCGGACTTGGACCAGTCCGTCAGGCGGTGGGGCATGCTGGCTTCCTACTTGGTGTAGTTGCAGAGGTGCGAGGGCCGAGGCATGCGCGCAGCGCGCTTGCGGACGCTGTGCAAGGACATGAGCGCCACGATCCCCAGCGGCGGCATCGTGAAGATGACGAGCAAGCAGAGGAGGAGGTGGCGCGAGGCTCTCAACAGCGTCGAGGCTATGAGTGAGGGGCAGATCAGCAGCTTCGGCGTGGCGGCCTTAGCCACGCCGAGGGAGGACAAGCATGCCGAGGTCAGCGAAGCCTTGCTGGCTACACCAACTGGGAGCAGGAGCAGGAGGCGGCTGGCTGCGGCAAGCTCCACAAGACGACGAAGGACAAGCCGCGCTGCGACAACGAGGTGCGCAGCAACGGGAGCACGGCCTCGAGCATGATCGACTACATGGACGCGAAGGGCGCGCAGTGGAGCAGGAAGTGGAAGAGCAGCTTCAGTCGGGCAGCCGTTGTGGGCCGCTTCAGCTGTCACGCGAGGCGGCTCAGGAGGAGGACTGGGCGCCCATCACCATCGAGAGCCTCAACAACGCCATCGACACCATGGCCAAGAGCAAGGCGAAGGGGTCGAGCAGCTGGGGGCCTTGGCGGTCAAGTGGCCCCCTCCCCGAGCGAGGGAGAAGCTGCGCCAGCTTATCGAGGAGTTGGAGCGTCGGGGGGCCTGGCCGCGGCAGTTGATGGTCATGCTGGTGAGAGCCTCCTGCGGAAGGACGCTGGAGGTGACAGGGCGATCGGCCTGCTCCCAGAGGTGGTCAAGCTGTGGTCGAAGATGCGCAGCGAGTACACCCACGAGTGCGTCACCAGCATGGCGGGCAAGTGGGGCGCGGCGACCGCGGGCAACAGCGCTCTCAGGGAGGCTCTGCTTCGCTCTTTCGCCGACGCGGTCCCAGAGCGGCCGCCGACGAAGGTCTGCACGGTGACGGCCCTGTGGGACAGGGCGGAGTTCTGCGACACGCGGGAGCCCGTCCCAGTTCTGGACGAGGGGCTCGGGCGTGGCATGCCAGCCCGCACTGTGCGCCTGGAGATGCCGAGCCGCTCGGGCGCGCGCTTCATCGGGGAGAGGACGGCGTGCGCGGAGCCGACCGCACCCAACAGGTCGGCCTGCGCAGACGCGAGGAGAGGCATCGACTTCGGCAGGGTGGCCCTCCACGCGGTGCTGGAGAAGGTCAGCGCCAAAGTCCAGCAGATGTACGTGCGCTCGTGGGTGGACGACGTCGCCACCAGGATGGAGGGCTCGAGGAAGCAGGTGGTCAAGCAGCTGTACTAGTATAACGCAGGCGTGGACTTCGCGTAGGGAGTGAGGGAGGCGAAGCTGATGCTGTCCACCAAGCCCGCGCTGATCGGCAACGACATGGACGCGGTGAAGGAGACTGCGCTCCAGTGCACTCGCGCAGCATCACAGTGAGGGTAAAGAGCCAGGCGCCAGACCTCGGGATCGACCGAGGCCATAGCATCGCAGGCGGCAAGGGCAAGCACGCCAAGAGGACGGCTCAGGCAGATCGGCAGGTGGCGCGGGCCATCCGAATGGCTCGCAGTGGCAGGCAAGCCAGAGGAGCTAGAGCGGCGGTACAGCGAGGGTCCTTGCCTCGCGCGGCCAACGCCTGCAAGGCGTTCGGCATGGCGCCTAGCACGGTGGCCGGCGTTGGTGATCGCCCCGAGGCTCAGAGGCAGGTGCCTCACCACGCTGCTGCAGGTGGAGGTCGCCAGAGGAGATCCCGCCGTCGGGTCGGTCTTCGCGCTGCTGGACCCGTGGATGCACATCACGAGCGACCAGAACAGGCGCAGGAAGGCGAAGTTGATCTGACCGAGGATCGCGTCGGCGTTGTCCAAGGAGGTGACGCACCGGCGGAGGGGAGTCACTGGCGTCACGAGAGCGATGGTGAATACCCTCCTCGACCTGGGCTGGGAGCCGAAGGGGCCGTGGCACTGGGTCTCGGACAGCGGCGCGGTCTTCGGCGACCACGGCACCGAGCTGGCCCTCGACGGGCACGTGGACGTCAGCGGCCTTGAGAAACGCGATGACCAGCGCCAGCGAGAAGCGGCCGTGGACGGAGGCAGCGAAGCACTACGGCGGAGGTGGGCTCGAAGACGGAGTAGACCTCAGGCCGGCCAGGGCGCTGACCAAGAAGCTCAAGAAGGAGGGCAAGCACGGCAAGGCGGGGGCGCACTTCGCCGGCACGGCGGGCGGAGCGTGGCCCAGGCAGCGCGTGGAGGAGCTCGGCCTCGAGGTCGAGGATGCCACGCGCCCGAAGTGCGGAAGGGAGGCAGAGTCCCGGGAGCATCGCGCGCGGAAGTGCAGGCGCAACGAGCTCCCGGACGAGCGCGAGGAGTCGAAGCACACCGAGGCGGGGGCCCTCGGCCAGCTCGAGCGGGACATCCGGCCGTGCTTGTGGCTGCGGGGCTCGCTGCCAGGGTCGTGGACGGAGGCCTCCCCGCCCCCTCCTCCTCCTCCTCCTCCTCCTCCTCCTCCTCCTCATCCTCCTCCTCCTCCTCCTCCTCCTCCTCCTCCTCCTCCCCCCCCGCCTCCTCCTCCTCCTCCTCCTCCTCCTCCTCCTCCTCCTCCTCCTCCTCCTCCTCGAGCCAGGCGCGGAGCGCCACGAGAGGGTCGGACCGACGGTCGGGAACCACGAGGGCCTCGACGAGGACGAGCGGATCACAGCTGCTGGCGGCGCGTCGGGCGGCGAGCACACCCCGGACCCCAGGCTTCGCAGGGTCGCGCTCGGGCTGGGTCATCCTGCAGACGGAGGGCGACCCGGGGCCGATGGTCGCGCTCGGGCGGGCGCGGTGCGCTGGCTGGCTGGCGGCAGAGCGTCGGCCGAGGCGAGCGGCAGGCGCGGGGGAACCCGCTCCAGAGAGCGGCGGAGCTCAGCAAGATCAGGTACGTGGCGGACTCCTCGTGCGTGCCGCGGGGCGTGGAGAAGCTCAAGAGGGGCAAGATGCCCAAGACGCACGCCGACCTGTGGTGCGGCGTGCGCGACGCGTCGAAGGGCAAGCACCTGGAGATGTTCAGGGCTGAGAGCCACATGACGGCGGCGGAGGCTGCGCGAGCGGGTGCTGATCCAGCTCGTTTCCTGGGCAAGGCGCTCGCGGACGAGTTCGTGGACCACATCATCGAGGGCGTGCAAGTGCCGCAGGCAGAACGGGAACGAGAACGGGAAGTCCCAGCTGCAAAGGCCCACGTGGGGCGGGACGGTGAAACTGCGAAACGAATGGCAGCGCGCCGGCTCTGATCTAACACATGCGAGCACGACGTGAGGAACATGGCGCCACGACACAGGCGACCAAGCGGGTTGTGGGCTGGGCAGAAAGGATCGCTTCCCCAAGGCCCACGCTACGCTCATGGCGTGCATCGAGGCCGATGCCATCGCAGGTGCCGTCGCGAGCAGATCGGAAGGCGGCCTTCGTGAAGAAGCGGAGGCGCGAGAAGCTACTGCAGGAGACGAAGCACGTAATTGACCTGAGCTTAGACAGGAAGCGCTACCGCTGTTCGAGGTGCGGCGGACAGGCCCCCCTGGCGAAGGCTGGCCAGTGGTTGGCGTCGGAGTGTCGCAGGGTGGAGCGGGGGTCGGGGCCCCTTCCTTCCAGGCGCAGGTCGGCCATCAGCAGATCCACCCGACCCACAAGTCGCAGTGGAACGACGAGCTGGAGTTGCACTACTGCGTGGTGTGCGGTGACATAGCGCGAGAGAATATGATGGGATTGGCGAAGAACGAAGCGCAACCTCTCGGCCAAGCAGACTGGGCAACAGAACTTGAGCAGGATCAGGAAGAGACTGCAGCCAGGCACTTCGGAGTTCGCGAAACGCTACCACCAGCAGGAGGAGATGCAGAAGAGGCTCTGAGTCCGCGCGGTTGCGCGGCGGAGCACTGGCCCAGCCTGGGTGGCGCAACCCCTTGGCCACAAACATCCACATCATCATCAACAACAGCCTCTCCTCTCTCTCTCATCCGCTTCGTTCTTCGCCCCCGCGTACTCCCCGACGTGTGTCCACAACGGCTGGGGGAACACATGGTCCGATTGCGTGGCAGAGCTCTGGCCACGACGTTCGGCCACACGGGCGATTCCAGACGGCAGGGGCGGCGGTGACTCGCCGCAGACGTCTTCGATATACTACAATTAAGTCGGGCGTTTCCCCCTACAGGGGGATTTTCGACGAAAGTTAAAAAAATACCCAAAACATACTCCAAAATGGTCAAACAGACTCGAGCAAGGAACACCGGGCCACCGAATACCGCTCCCCGCCCGCCCTCCCTGCCTATCTGCGTCCCTTCTCATCATGTGTGAGCCCACTCCTCGTCCCCAGGCTCATCGTCGTCGTTATCCTCCTCCTCCTCCTCCTCCTCCTCCTCCTCCTCCTCCTCCTCCTCCTCTTGCTGAATGGTCTCCTCACCTTGCTCCATAGCCACACATCGTTACGCTTCTACCGCCTTCGCTCTTTGAGCAGGTACTTGCAGCCCAACCTCCACGCGTGCTGGCTTGTATGGCTACCGCCGCTGTCATGCGCCGATCTTCGGTCTGCTACCATTCCCACTCGATCGAGCTCTCCCTGAGGGGGCCGGCGGGGATGAGAAGAAGAGGCAGGAGGAGAGGATCAGAGGGATGGGGATGAGGGTCATGATGGAGACAGAGGGGACAAGGAGGGAAAGCGAATGTGCGCCCAACTGTCTCCAGTCCTCTACATGCTGCGCCTGGTACAAGCTCTCATAGTTGGCATGCATGTTCAGATCCTCCAGAAATCGGCCAGGTGGAGGCGAAGGAGCACGCGTACGAGCAGGAGGAGGCACAACATAGGGATGTGTTGGAGCAGAAAACAGGAAGGACACACATGACCAATTCGGGGAACCCTGCATTCAAACATGTCGACGTATCATGTTTACTCCCGCCGCCTTCGGCTGGCACTCCGCCGAAGCTGAGCCGCGCCGAAAGCGAGGCCGTTTCTGGAACGCGCCACACCGACACGGACGGAGCCCGACGCTAGGGGGCCACATGCGACCCCTACCCCTACCCCCCACGATTTCTGAGGGGGAGGGGGAGGTTCACTTCGTTCGGGAGCTCTCGAAGGAAGTGAACCCCACCCTCCCCCTCAGAAATCGTGAGGGGTAGGGGTAGGGTTCGCATGCGGCCCCCAAGACGCGTACGAGGACAAAGAGGCGCAATATCCGAGAGTGCTGGGATGTAGTCCCGTAGCCGACGGGCTGGCTGCAGAGAGCGGCCAGACCGCCCGCGCCTCTGCGCAGTGTGCCGGCGCTCGTTGCCACCGTCGCGCGCACACTCGTCGTCGTGGAAGACGTCGTCGATGTCTCCGTCGTCGTCGTGCTCCTCCTAATCCTCCGCTCCCTCATGCTGGGCCTGTTTTCCACCACCACCACCACCATAAGTTGGAGGGGGAGGGGGTCCTCGTCCTCCTCCCCCACCTCTTCCTCCTCCTCCTCCTCGTCCTCGTCCTCCTCCGCCTTCCCCCCATCCAACTGATGGTGGTGGTGGTGGTGGTGGAAAACAGACCCAGCACCTCATCCTACCATGAAGCCGTCTTGATGTATCAGTTCGGAGGGGCCGAACGGTCTTACGCAATCCCTGGGTGCGTGGCTGCAGTCGGGTTCCGCGGTGCGGATGTTCGGTGTTGCTGTCGTCGTTGCCATGCGAACCCCGCGACCCACTCACGGCCCAGTAGCCACGCAGCCCACCCGCTGCACGACCCACCCGCGACCCGCCCGTGCCGCGACCACACCCGTGACACACCCGCGACCCGCCCGCGACGCGACCATCCGCGACAAACCCGCGCCACAACCCACCCGCGTCCCGCCCGCGCCGAGTCCCACTGGCGTCCGACCTACTCGCGTGGGTTATCTTTAAGAACAAATTCTGCCAGCGTGGGCGCCAAGTAGTGAGTGCTTACACCCTGGCTGTGTCATCATGTGGCGCAACAGATGTGGTGCAAGCTGCGCGGTGCAAGCCATGCGTGCTGAAACCGATGTGTGGTGCAAGCCAGGTGGAGGTGGTGCAAGCGATGCCGCGCAAGCTATGCGTGGCACGAGCTATGCCAGGTGGTGAAAGCCCTGCCGTGCGAGCTGTGCGACTTCAGCAGGCTGCGTGGTGCAAGCTGCGTGGTGTAGGCCCACGTGATGCAAACGATACGTGCAATCGGAACGAGGCGTCCGCGAGGTGCCCACGGCCGCTCATCCGGCGAAACCTCGGCAGACCCAACCAGCGAACGGGGCGCCCACGAGGCGGTCACGGCCGCCCACCGGGCGAGACCTCGGCAGACCCATCCAGCTACCAATGGATCACAAGTAAGAACCAGTGAGTGCAAACACTGGTTGGGGAAGAAGAGTCGGCCCCTGTGGCGGGCCGCCTTACATCTGCTCTGGAAGACACCATTGCCTGTTCCCGCCCGCACTGTCCGCCGACGACGGCACGCCCTGCGACCCACCCACACTGTTTTGAACAACCAGTTTGGCGTCTGCGGCAGGTCCACCAGCTTTGCTTTAAACGTCGGCGCTTGCGGCGGGATGGTTGTGCAGTGTTCCCTAGAATCAGGGTCTGCGGTGGTCTTCTTCACGCTTGCGTTCGAGCCTCGCGCACTGCCGACGGCTCCCCCGCCCCCTCACAATCATTCGCACCTCCGTGACACGCGGCCGGCCGATAGACTCCCCAACTGGGACCCTCCGTCCCACACATCCAAGAAACACCAAATCAGCGCGCTTCCTCTCAATACAGTCAACCAGTATAATAAGGATGCGCGGTAAGGATGCAAGGGCCTTGGAGGGCCACGTGAGCGTTTTTCGAACGAGGCTGGCCAGCGAGAGTCGCTAAGGATGGGCCGAAGGGGCAAGGATGCAAGGGTACCCTTGGGAAGGTTGCCCATCCTTACCATGCGGGTTGACTGTATAGACGTTTTGGAACCAACGTTGCAAAGTATGCGGCGGGAGCGAAACCTGGCGCACATGCGCAGCCAAGAGGGCGAAACATCCCTCTCGCCTCGTCGCCGCGCTCGGGTGTCCTGCGAGTTGAGCACCCGTGTGGGCGCTGTGCGCACCGTTTGCCTGCCACCTCGTCGGTGCTGGGGTGGCTCGCGAGCGGGCGAAATGCATCTGTCGCCCACGCGCCGCGCAGACTTTGCCCGAAAAGGACGCTGTGGCTTAGGCGCGGGCCATATCATCTCATTCGCCTGGCCTCAAGGGGCCCGGCCGCGCGCGAGCGGGCGAAGTGTCGCCGTCGGCCTTGCTCCATGCAAATGTTGTGTCAAACCTGCGCTCCCGCGCGGGCGCAGCACATCTTTTCCGCTTGCCGAGTCGCCTGAAATCGGAAGCCCCGCCGGAGCACAGTGGGGGGGGGAGGCCGGGGAGGGCGGAGGGCAGGGAGGCGGGAGGGGAGGGGGAGGGAGGAGGAGGAGGAGGAGGAGGAGGAGGAGGAGGAGGAGGAGGAGGAGGAGGAGGAGGAGGAGGCCCCGCACGAACGGCCGAAATGTGGGTCTCGGCCCGGCGCGCGAAGATGCCGGGCAAAAGCAGCAGCGATGCCTCCGCGCGGCGCGTGCTTCGTGGCCACGCGCACCCGAACCTTGGCCGCGCCCAAGGCAGCCACTTGGTGTTCGCGCCGCTGCGCCGCACAGAGACTTCTGGAAGCGACGCTCCTGCACTTGCGCGGCCCGCGTCCTTTCCCCCCCCGCCGCATCGTCGAAGGCGGGGCCGCACGATCACCCTACGCGTGCTGCAGTGGAAGCCAGTCCACAAGACAACCTCCACGAGAAACCCAACCCGGAGACCCCAGGACGCCCATCGATTTCCGGTGTGGAAGCGCACGCCTTCCATGGCAGAAGACCGTCGAACACCAAGAAACCCAGGGCACCCTGGAGGCAAGCGGGGCGTGTTTTTTTTTTGGCATGGGTCTCCACTGTGCGCCAGCACTTGGGCGCCCGAGTTATCCGGGGTAACTCGGGTCCGGGGTAACTCGGGTTTGGATTTCCGACAAAGGAACCCGAGTTAGCCCTGACCCGAGTTACCCCTGATGATTCGGGGCTCTGGACGCCCGAGTTATCCGGGGTAACTCGGGTCCGGGATAACTCGGGCTCGGATTCCCGAAAAAGGAACCCGAGTTACCCCTGGAAATTGGCACCAACACCAGCACAGGGGTTTGCCTCCACAGGGAGATGATGATCTTAGATTTCGGTGTTGGTGGTAATATTTCGGTCGCCTTGGAAACCAGGATATTACCACCATCACCGAGATCGGGATCGTCTTCCCTCGGTGGAGGAACACCGCCGATCTTGGTGTTGGTGTCAATCTCTAGGACTCCGAACCCTGGAGGCAAGCGGGGCGTGTTTCTCTTGGCGTGGGCCTCCACTGTGCGCCAGCACTGCCTCGTATGCTGTGACAGGGAGAGAGAGGCTGCGGGCCGGGCCCGCCGGCTCGCGGGCTCGCTCGGCCTGGCTATAGCTGGACCCCTGGCTCCTGCTCGCCCCCCTCTCCCCTCCGACCGGTGGGAAGGGGCCTGGTGCTCACGTGGCCTCCAAGTGTGTATGGGGTTAGAGTACAAAGGTACAGAACCCCTGATCCGTTGGTAGAGGAAAGGAGGGAAAGATGGATATCTGTTCCTCCTGCACGATCAAAGGTCTGATCGATCTAGTCCAATACCTGAGCCCAAACGGCCAGGCGCAGGAGAGGTGAGGATAAGGAGTATATATGAGGATATTACACGGGTTCTATTCACACCAAGAGCCTGCGGTCAGATTCGGACCGCTGGAAATGCTGGAAATACTTCGAGGGCCACAAGGGGAAGCGGAGCTCCGGCGGCGGAACACCAGCCTGCCAGGAACCGCGTGCCCACGTCGCTCTTCGCTGCCTGGCGCTCATCTGCTCAACCGCTGGGCTACCCCAGCGGGTAGCACCCATGTCGCCCAGCGTCTTGCAAACATACAGCCCTCGTCGAAATTGAACGCAATTTTTTCCCACTCCCGTCGCCCCCAAATTTCAATGTTCATCGACAGGCTCATCGCAGCCGGCGGGGTCCGAAGAAAATCTCGAAGTCGCCAGCGTCGGCGTGAACATTGAAATTGGGGGTCGGGGGGCGCCGCCAGGTCGCGGCTAAAACTTGCGTTCAATTTCGACGAGGGATGTAGGACCCCTGATCGCAAGTTTCCCAAAGGGGAGGAGAAGAGGAGGAGCGCGCGACCACTGAACCTCACCGGTGCGACTGGCACACTTGCGTGAAACAGACGATCGCCATTCAACAAAAAAACGTGATGCCGACCTGTCACAAGCGAGCTCATGCGATGGAATGTGGCCTGGGAGAAAAGGGAATCACGATAATGAGTACCTATACGACCACCCTGCGGGTGATAAGAAGGTGGGGGGGGAGGGGGGCCAGCAATGGGCAACAGTGGTGATTGTTGCGTTGCAGCTCGCTCTTGGGAGCCTTGGTGTCGAGTTGTTCTCACAATCGATTTCGTCATCTGTCTCACTCTCGTTTTCGCACCAGCGGGACACCGGGACACTGGCGGGACATCGGCGGGACACCGCGGGCCACTGCTTGCCTGAGGGAGAATCATTTGGTCCGGCCGCGCCTCAGCCACAGGAGACTTTCCTCTCGCTCGCCCACGCAGCTTCGCCTCGCCCGCACGCACGGCACGCACGAACACGAAACCGAAACCGATGTCCCGGTGGGGGGCTCTCAGTTCCACTTCGATCGCACCCCCCAACCTCCGATGCATGGCCAGAGGGGGGAGGAAAGG